TCAATGCACGATTAGTAATCAAAAGAAGAACAAACAAACAATTGAAATTATCAGTAACAGGTAATCAAGTAGATTTTACTAATTATTATTATAATGGAAAATGCACTAGAATTGAGAGTAATGGAAGTTCTGCAGAATCTGTCACCTACACAAAATTTGAGTTCAGGTTAGGATTATTATCACTTTATCATCATTTTTTGTTATTTATAGCATCATGCAGAATCATAAGAGGAATGAGAATGGAAATAGAACAACTGCAATTATTATTAACAAATAAAACTGGTACTGAATCATAATGTATGTGTTCTAGTGCATTATAATTATTCTATATTATAGGTTTACTGGATCAGAATGAGCCCTTCACAGATATTAAGAGGGAAATAGCTGAACTACAAGAACAGATATCATTAATGAGTGTACATATACTAAATAAAGGAGAGGAAAATGAAAGTCATAAACATGTTATTGCAGGTATGATATGATTATATATTTTGATAATAATCATAGTGTACTGCAGAATGTATAAAACTGACTGCAACTATTACATACACTGAAAGTGATGAAGAGACAGATGAAGATGATTATAAACTGACCAATGATGCAATTTTTATTGCTTGTTGTGGATATTATGCCATAGGGGGTGATGAAATATCATTCAGTAAAGGAGAGCAGCTAGAGATATGTAACAAGTTGAGTACATATTATTGGGAAGGAAGGTCCTTGGTATCTGGTGATGAGGGAGTGATTCCTAGTAGTTGTGTTCACTCAATATTTGAGTCACTTCATTTGTTAGAGTTTATACTGTCAGTGGAAGAAGTGTCCCTTCCTATTCTGCATAAGATAAAGAATGATGCATCTAGTAATGATGAGAAAGTGTCTCTTTTCTTGGACATTATCAATGATGATCCTATGATGATTCCTGCCCTGAGACAAGACTGGGAACAGCATGAGGAAGGTAGGATTGGCTATTTTATTTGGTCACTAATTCAGTAGCATGCACACATGT